AGAAATCTAACCATAATAGGAATTGTGTGTGTTGAGATTGAGATTCCACCACCACCATCATCAGCAGACCATAATCGGTACTTGCTAGAATTCTTGGACAATTGGCAAATTTGGTTGTTAGATTTTTTTCGTGTTCTGGAATCTTGACCAAATATGTTGACCTGAAAGAAATCTTTCTTTGATTTATAAGTATCGCCATCATCATCATGGCCATCATTCACAATTATGGTATTGCACCACTGGAGACGAGGATTTCCCAGGAATTTGTAATAGGCAAGCAATGTACCGCAATATAAGTTATTTATGGCATTGTTATTTTTAAAGTGATGTGGTGTCCATAGTTGGAGGGGGTTTTGTGCGAAAATACTTATTTTGAAATAGTGGAGAAAAGTGGGACGTGGAGTAGAAACAGTATGGAAAACAGGACCCCTTATACCTCCTCTGTATACAATAGCAGAGTGTTTAGTGGACCTTCTAGGAGTCTATTCTACTTCTACTAGGTGATTATTCTAAGAGAATATTGACCATAATATTACTTGAATATTGATATTGAATAAAAAATAATATTGCGAATTGTTTTAACTTCTACAGTTCTTCAATGGGCAACAGAAGAATTTTTAATGGGTCTTCCAGCAAAGCTTCTACAGTGCTTGTAGACTTCTTCTACAAGAAGAGGAACCTTCCGAGTTATTTTACAAAAAAACTTTGTCCTTTCAGAGAGTCCCAATAGATTGAATGGCCTTTACTTGATATTCCATAAAAAGAAGGCCCGTCTGAAGATTTTCATAGAATTTTAAGAGTCCAAAGCCCTGAAGAGATTCAAGACTTTTAAGGGAAATTCCATATATTGCTTTGTAGGTCCTTCTACATTTGTAGACCACAAAGAAGAAGAAGGAGTACATTTACCTATAGCATATCAGCGAGAGGTTCACTAAGGATAAAGGCTTCTATAGACAAAAGACCTACCGGAGACCTTGTATTACCCCGAAAACCCTATCAAGTTTTCGGCAGACAGCAGATCTTCTAGAGAGCTTTTATAGACGAGGGAAGGGTTCAATTAGAGAAGGTCACTTCTAATGCCTCCAGAGGGCTTCTATAGACAAGAGACCTACCGGAGGTCTTGTATTAACCGAAAGCCCTCTAGAGAGACTTCTAGAGAGCTTTAATATACAAAGGAAAGATTCAATAGACGAAAGCCTCTTCAGAGGGCTTTTATATACCAAATACCTAGGAATTCTAAAAATCGAACCTTGAGAGGACGTCCAAAAAAATGACATTCTATAGAGGCTTTTATACATAAAATATTCTTCCGGCAAAATATCTTCCGGAGTAGTTCTTAAGTTAAAATAATACCTAGAGGTTTCTACAGACAGAAGGCTATCTGTAACATTTCTATGGACAGAAAACCCTTTAGAGAACTTCTAAGACCCTTGACAAAATACATAGTAAAGATCTTTTATAATCCGAAGACTCTTTTATGTTCTATGACAGACATATTACCATCTATAGCGCTTCTATAAACAGTAGATGTTCTCCTGGGCTTTGATAAACTCTATCAGGTGCTTCCGTATACAGAGGATCCTCTAGAGCTCTACAATAGACATAGTTAGATCCCAAGATCAAATACTTTCTAATAGGCTATAATAGACAGGAACGTATATACTTTAATTTCTCTGGGTATAAGACTGGCGACCTTTACGAAATCCCATTTCAAGATCTTCGGCAGAAGGAGATCTTGAAATATCACAGTTTTTGAGAAATTTATACATTTTTGACATTGTCGTACCCTTGGCCGTATTGGGTCAAATACTCATATTTTGTGTCAAAATATGGTAAAAAATTAGTTTTAGACATTTTTACATGTTTGTGACATTTGGTACATTGTGTCCATTGTGTCCACATTGTGTCTTGACTGCCTTGAGTCAAATACTTATATTTCATGTTAAAATATTCCGAAAACTTAGTTTTCGTCTTTTTTTACATTTTTTACAAGTTTGTGGCATTTTTGACATTTGGTACATTGGACCCTAATAACTCAAATTTTACTTTTAATTACTTTTTTATGCATTAAAAACATCGTATTCGCCTTATATTTGAAATTTACACATATTTTACATGTCGTAAACCTGTATAAAACTATGTCAAATATAATAAAAATGATTTTCTTGAGCTTAATATTGATCCGAAGTTATACAAATTTGGTACATTGAACCCCAATAACACAAATTTTGCTTATAATTTTATTCTGATGCATTTAAAACATCTTTAGAACGTATACGCCTTATAATCAACATTTATACATTTTTTACATGTCGTAAACCTGTATAAAACTATGTCAAATATAATAAAAATGATTTTCTTGAGCTTAATATTGATTATGTATTCTGGGTAACTTAATTTCAGTCCTAATTTATACGCATTTCAGAGTTTTAGACACTTTTATACACAAATATACGTTTTAGACATTTTCGACATTGATTTCTTTTTTGACCGCTTTGGGTCAAAAACACATATTTTATGTCAAAACATTGTATTTTCTTAAGTTTTTTCACCTTTATACATTTTTTACACGTTTGTGACATTTTTGATATTTGGTAAATTGGATCCTAATAACACAAATTTTGTTTATAATTTCTTTCTGATGTATTTAAAACATCTTTAGAACCTATACACCTGTTAATCGACATTTACACAGTTTTTACATGTCGTAAACCTGTATAAAACTTTGCCAAATATAATAAAAATGATTTTCTTGAGCTTAATATTGATTATGTATTTTGGGTTACTTAAATTCAGTTCGAAGTTATGCGCATTTCAGAGTTTTAGACACTTTTATACACAAATATACATTTTTGACACTTTCGACATTGATTTCTTTTTTGACTGTTTTGGGTCAAAAACACATATTTTATGTCGAAATATTGCAAAAACGTATTTTTCGACCTTTTTATACATTTCTTACAGGTTTGTGACATTTTTGACATTTGGTACATTGGATTCTAATAACACATATTTTGCTTATAATTTCATTTTGAGACATTAAAAAAATGTTCAAGATATATTATAAATGTTTTCCATATTTACAATAATTTTACATGTCGTAAACCTGTATAAAACTATGTAAAATTTAATAAAAATGATTTTATTAAGCTTAATATAGATTATGTATTCTGGGTAACTTTATTTCAGTCCGAAGTTATACAAATTTCAGAGTTTTTGACACTTTTATACACAAATATACGTTTTTTACATTTTCGACATTGACATTCTCTTGACTCCCATGAATCAAATACTCATATTTTGTGTCGAAATAGTACAAGAATTTAGTTTTTGACCCTTTTATACATTTTTTACATGTTTGTGACATTTTTGACATTTGGAACTTTGGACCCTAATAACACAAATTTTGCTTATAATTTATTTTTGATGCATTTAAAACATCTTTAGAATATATACGCCTTATAATCGACATTTACACATTTTTACATGTCGTAAACCTGTGTAAAACTGTGTCAAATATAATGAAAATGATTTTCTTTAGCTTTATATTGATTATGTTTTCTATGTAACTTATTTTCAGTCCTAAGTTATACGCATTTCAGAGTTTTAGACACTTTTATACACAAACATTCGTTGTTGACATTTTCGACATTAACATTCCCTTGACTGCCTTGGGTCAAATACTCATATTTCATGTCAAAATATTGCGAAAATTTAGTTTTCGCCTTTTTTATAGATTTTTTACAAGTTTGTGACATTTTTGACATTTGGTACATTGGACCATAATAACACAAATTTTACTTATAATTACTTTTTTATGCATTAAAAACATCTTTAGAACGTATACGTCTTATAATCGACATTTACACATTTTTTACATGTCGTAAACCTGTATAAAACTATGTAAAGTATAATAAAAATGATTTACTTGAGCTTAATATTGATTATGTATTCTGGGTAACTTAATTTCAGTCCGAAGTTATACGCATTTCAGAGTTTTAGACACTTTTATACACAAATATACGTTTTAGACATTTTCGACATTGATTTTTCTCTCACTGCGTTGGGTCAAATACTCATTGCTCATGTCACTTAAAACATGTATTCTCATTGTTTTCGATATTTCCATAATATTTACATGTCTTAAACCTGTATAAAACTATGTCAAATATAATAAACATGATTTTCTTGTGCTTAATTCTTATAATTAGTCCTAGGTAACTTCATTTTAGTCGTAAAGTATAATTATTTCGGAGTTTTTGACACTTTTATACACTTCTATACACAAATATACATTTTTGACATTTTCGACAATGACATTTCCTTGACTGCCTTGAGTCAAACACTCATATTTCATGTTAAAATATTGCGAAAATTTAGTTTTTGACCTTTTTATACATATTTTACAGGTTTGTTACATTTTTGACATTTTCAATTTTTTGTTGAAAATTGAAAATTTTTGTATTTTATTCATATTTTGTGTCAAAATACGGTAAAAATTTAGTTTTTGACCTTTTTATACACTTTTTACAAGTTTGTGACATTTTCAATTTTTTGTTGAAAATTTAAAATTTTTGTATTTTATTCATATTTTGTGTCAAAATAAGGTAAAAATTTAGTTTTTTACCTTTTTATACATTTTTTACAAGTTTGTGACATTTTTGACATTTTCAATTTTTGGTTAAAAATTGAAAATTTTTGTTTTTTAGCAATATTTTGTGTCAAAATATGGTAAAAATTTAGTTTTTCAACATTTTATACATTTTTTACAAGTTTGTGACATTTTTGACATTTTCAATTTTTGCTTGAAAATTGAATGATTTTGTATTTAAAACATTTTTAAATGGTTTTGGTAACATTTTCGACACATACAATGTCGTAAACCTGTCAAATACAACCATCAGAATTCTTACGGAAACTGTTAAAATTTTAACTTATTTTTTAAATATTTAAAATTTAACCCACATTTTTTCTTTCTTCTTCTTTTTTTCTCTTTATAGATTTTAATGGACACTTTACTCAACTCCACCCGTTCCAAACAACAACAATAACAACAAAACCAACAGCAGCAGCAACTCTGTTTTATGACAACAACGAGATGTGGAGTTTTCTTCGATCTGGGAAACAATTTCAACAAGCTACGATACGAAAGCAAACATTTACTGACCAACAACATCAGCAACTGCAGGGGCAACAACAACATCAAGTACAACACTTGCATTTTAAAAATCCACAAACATCAAGAAATCTGGATCGAGTGAAATAAAAACAAAAGCAAAAAAGCAAAGAACCTGACAAGCCGTTTCTTTGGAAAAGCCAAGCGAAGAACATTTGAAACGAATCGAACGATTTTGAAACTGCATCACATTTGAAGAGATTTCCTCCCACGCATATACACCCAGTCCCCACACTCCTTGCTCCTCTTCAGACAGCAACACCAGTTAAGCAGCATCATCTCAAGAAGTCGTCGCAGAGACACAGAGAGACGCCTTCCCCTCCAACCACTGCTGCAAACAAACACTTGAGAACTACACAACGCGACAGAGTAGTGCAAGACACCTGGGAGGGACAAGTGCAAGAACAACAAACAAAGCTCGTGCGTGGAGCTTCAACCCAACCCCCCGCCCCTCTCCAGCAACTCATGTAGTTGAGTTAGTAGTAGAAGAGCACACAGCCCTCTTTACACATCCAATTCTATTTCCTGCTATGAGAACGAAGACCACGAAAAGCTGCGATTTAACGACTTCATAGAGAGAATCAACAACAAAAACTATCACATTGTTGGCTAGCTAAGCTTAGCTGCGCTCCAAATTTTTATTAATTTCTAACTCCCTTGGCATTTAAATGTAACCGCAACATTCCGGAATTAGAATTATTTTTAGTTCTGTTTTTTTTTTTCATTCAAAAACAAAATTTCCAAATATTTTTCTAACCTCAAAAAAAAGTGAATTTTTGAAACCCCAAAGAAATTGTGTTCACGAAAAATCCGAAATCTAAGCCTTAAGCTTTTTTGTTTTATAAGCACGATTTCCGCAACGTAGCACCTACCAATCCTTAGATTTCCAGCACCAGTATCTACACTGACAACGTCTCCAGCTATATCTACATCCCCATTGTTGTTGTCGTCATCGTTGTTGTTGTCCTTTATTTGTTCCTTCGATTTGCCAACAACAAATCATACAAATTGTTGTACAAAATGTCTCTGGTCGAGAGGTCGAAAGTGGGTGGCGGCGGCGGTGGTGCTGCAGACATGGGCAGCATTGGTGGTGGTGGCGGCGGTGGCGGCCGTAACACAGATGAATGCTACATGGTCGGCTCCAATATGAAACACTCGTTGAGCACACCATCTGGTGTTGATGGCACACCCTCCACACCCCGTCATCGGGGGGGCAAGAAGTTGACGGTGCGAATACAAATGTTGGACGATACGGTGACAATATTTCAAGTGCAGGTGAGTGACAATTTTGAAAATATGTTGATATGATTTTCTAGGATAAGGGAAAATGGAAGGACATAGGGAACATAAGGATTTATAAATGACCGTTCAATTTTTGTAAATCTTCACAAAAATTTCGAGATACCAATACAAAAAATCTGTAAGAGGTATGTCCACCTCAAACGTCTTCTATTCATAGAAAACTTTTAGAATGTCCTTTATTTATGAAATATCCTTGGAAAATCATTTATCCGTACAATATCTCTAGAAGATCTCCTTCATAACTTATTAAGGAAATATAGATCAAGAAGATCCCTCTCTTTATTCACAAAATATTTCTCTCTCTTCCCAGAAGTGCTCTAGAGAGTATTTAAAGATTTTGTAAAGGTCTGTTATTCAAGAGAAGAAAAAGACTTCCTCTGGAGCTGAAGTAGGATTTTTTTATAGAAAAACATTTTCAGGTCCTGGGGAAGGATTTTTCAACAGAAACAAATTCAGGAACTGAGGAAGACACCACTAAAGAGGTATTTATGGACGTCCCTAAAGACGTTTTTATTGACTCCCATAAGGGGCCTCTTAAGAGTTTTTTTATAGACGCGATAATGAGGCTTTATATACGTCCTTCTTAATTATTTATAGACGCCATTAAATGATTATTTGTAATGCCGTAAGTGAGTTTAATGGTGTCTCTATTGACACCCTCTTAGACGCTTTTTATGGGATCTTCAAAGGCATTTTATAGACGTCGCAAAGGGTCTTTGTAAACGACTTCAAAGGGGTCTTTACAGTCTTTGTAGACACCCTTAAAGGAGTCATTATACAGGGCGAGATTAAAAACTGCAACCGAGTCAAACGCCATAATTTATATTTTTTTTTTAAATTTTATTGAATGAAAGCGAAAACATGTCGGAAATAGTATCAAATTTTAGAATAAGTTTAGATTTTTTCGAATTGGTCACCTTTGGCACGAATTATGGCCTTCAAACGGACAATGAAACCGTCACACGCTGCCCGAATGTTGCTCAGCGGTATTTTGACCCATTCCCGGCGAATCGCTTGCTTGAGGTGATCGTGCCAAACTTGCTTTCCAAAATACTCCAGACACTAGAGTCCAATGGATTGGTATCCGGAGATTTTTGTGGCCATTGTGCGCTGGAAATAAAGCGAGGAACCCCATTTTGCGATGCTACAGAGTTCTGTTGAAATGTCCAAGGTCTGCGGCCAAAATATTTGTGTGCCCAAGGCTTACCCCTTCAAGGCTACACCCTCCAGAATATTTTCGCGATAATATTCGGCATTTATTCTGATGCCACGGTTGATTAATACGAGCGGAGAGCGACCATCGGCTGTTATGGCGTTATGGCTCACACCATTACCATGGCCGGCGCTTGAGTTCTGGTAGCCAACCGAAGGTGCACATTTTCAGCTGACCTCTTTGGCAAGTAAACACGATCATTTTGTTTTGTTGTTGTTTACAAACTGCTGAACAACGAATGTTATCTCATCGTAGAAAACCAAATTCGGCAGTTCACCACTATCGGCCAAGCGAAGCAACTCTTTAGCTCTTTTGAGTCTATTTTCTTTCTGTTGAGGTGTAAGTTCTTGCACTTTTTGGAATTTCAACGGCTTAACCCCGAGCTCATTTTTCAATATTTGCCGAATGGAATATTGCGATATGTTCAGCTCACAAGTCATTTTTCGGCCACTACGAAGCGGGTTTCGATGAAGTCGCTTCTTTACTTCTCGAACCATTTCTGCTGACAAAAGTTTTATTCACATTAAAATTCTGGAATGCTTTAACGATAGTCACTTGTGGTTTTCCAGCCAAATATAAAGAAATCACACTACCGCGCTTGAATTCCATCAAGAATAAATTTTTTTCTGGGAAATTCTCATCAAAATGCTTTTGTACGCGTGTAAACAATATAATGAGCTGTCACTGGAATAATTTTAAAAGCTGTGGGGCGAGTGGCTTGGAAATGACAGTAGTCTGAATTTGGTTGCAGTTTTTTCATCGCATACTAAATGGTGAAGGACCTGGTTTTGAAAATGCGTACTATAATTGTACTAAATTTCCTCAGAAACTGAGCGCTGTTTTTTTTTCCATAGCAAAAAAACATCCTCAGGATCGGAGGAAGGTTTTTTCCATAGGAAAAAAAATCGTCAGGAATTAAAGAAGGTTGTTTTCCAAAAAATTTCCTCAGGAACTGTGGAGAAATTTTTCTATAGAAAATCCCATTCTCAGGAACTCGTGTGAAATTTTTCTATAGAAAATTCCATTCCCCGGAAATGAGGAGAAATTTTTCTATAGAAAAATCCCGTTCTCAGTAGCTGAGGAGAAAGTTTACTATAGGAAAATTCTATTCTCATATTCTCTAGATTCTCTATGAATTACCTTTTCTCAATTTATAACAATACCTTTTATTACTTCCGTTTGCCAAGAAGCAAACAAACACCCATTCATTTATCAAAGAAGTACATGCTTTCAATATTGCTATCTAATTCCAAAGTATCACAAAGAAACCGAAACAATAATAGAAATTGAGTACCAGACTTTTGACAAAAAATGTGGAGGCCAGAGAGTGTGTTACCACAATGAAGGCAGGAGGAGTTGTTAGTCTCCCGAGCCAAAAAAGACAAAAATGACCATAGGGATGTGTTTTTTCGTTCGTTGGTCTCCTTTTAACTTTAATGTGATCATGGTTTTTGGAACAAAGCCAGGAAATAAGGAATGAAATCTAGTTTTTTGTTCTTGGTTTTGTATGCATGCAATTCCTCCTGCATAATTTAGCAGGACTTCGAGAATGCCAGAAAAAGGATTTTTTTTTGATTAAAAAGAAGGAAATTTTGCATTACCAAATAGCTGAGTAAAAAACAAGAGTTAGTTTTTTTGTTTTTTCCAGCAGCCAGGGTGTAATCAGTAGAAGCCACCAGCGTCAGTTTCGATAATATGCATCTGTTTTTAGGCCAGACGCCCAAGACAGAAGCACAGACAGGATTTTGTTTCAAACCCTATGTAAAGGGAGGCTTATAGGACACATAAATGGGGAAAATAGAAGGAATAACAAAATTTCCATTTTAAGATAGCCACCTTCTAGATACGTCTCTGAACTATCCATAAGACTTTAATGGCCGTTTCCAGAATTAGAAAATTCTTCCCTTCAGGCAAATGAATATTTCTCCACTGCCTAACATTTCTAAAAAAAAACTAAAATTCTCCTGTACTTCCAACAAATTCTTAGACAAGAACACCACAACTAGCCACCACATAATTAAAAGATATTTTTTTCCAAGGCTCCTGTGATTTATTGCCAAAAAAACCGGAGGAAAAGAAGAAGCTGAAAAAATAAAAATAAGTTTCAAATAAAAAAATGAACTGTTGTCGTCGCAAACATTTCTCTCCTCCCGTGGCCGCGACAAACAACGACCTCTTTTCCATCGAAGGAAGGAATATTTACGAGTTCGTTAACATGGCTGGGCTACGTGTTCAATAGAACTTCCTCCGTATTTGGCCATAACATTTCCGGTATTAGACATATTTTGTAATTGTTATTTATGAATGGATTTCAGTTGATATATGACCTTTCGTCACCTTTCAAGTCTACTCAGCTTTTCATTATTAATAATTGGAATATTAAAACAATACGAGGAAGGAACTGAGAAATATTTTTTTGATAAAAAAACATTTCCTCAGGAACTGAGGAAGGGTTTTTGAACAGAAAAAAATTCCTCTATCGAGAAAATTTTTCTATCGAGAAAAAATAAAAAAAATGTCCTCAGGAACTGAGGAAGGTTTTTTCCATAGAAAAAAATTTCCTCAGGAACTGAGGAAGGTTTTTTCCATAGAAAAAAATTTCCTCAGGAACTGAGGAAGGTTTTTTCCATAGAAAAAAATTTCCTCAGGAACTGAGGAAGGTTTTTTCCATAGAAAAAAATTTCCTCAGGAACTGAGGAAGGTTTTTCCATAGAAAAAAATATCTAAGGAACTGAGGAAAGTTTTTCCATAGAAAAAAATTCTTAGGAACTGAGGAAAGTTTTTCCATAGAAAAAAATTCTTAGGAACTAAGGAAATTTTTTTCCATAGAAAAAAATTCTTAGGAACTAAGGAAATTTTTTTCCATAGAAAAAAAATTCCTCAGGAACAGTTTTTTCCATAGAAAAAAATTTCTTAGGAACTGAGGAAGGTGAGGCTTTTTAGAATTGAAAATTTTCATCCGTAGCAGAAATTTAAATTTTTTTTCTGACAAAAAAACCTATCATCCCCCTTCCTCCCTCCCCCTTTATCAGTCAATAAAAATTTCGCAAAAACACATTCCATTCACAAATAAAGCCATTCACCACTCAAAGACCAATGGAAACTGTTATCGAATGCCAACACTCCAGAAGAAGAAAAAACCGCACATCACTTCACTGGAAATGCATCCATTTAGCACTCGAAGCAATTATGATGGCTGCCTGCCATCGCAGCATGGCATGGCAAACAGAAACAGCTAAAAATAGCGCTTGCCAAGAACGACTATGGCTTAAGCGACACCATAGTAATTTGGTAGCCTGGCAGGACCAAATGCAGCAGATTCGCGCCCGACACAATGGGAATAGAAATGAATGTGCCATGCCATGCCACGCCATGAAATGGATGAATGAATAAATCGGCGTCCGGGAAAAGAATCCGAAGAGATTAAGAATCAGCTAAACAACAAGAATAACACCACTAGTCCTGGTAGTCCTAGTGCTAACAGTTGTTAGTGTAATGCAATCAAAGAATTTAAGGAAGACAAATTGAGAGTCGAAATGATGATGGTGGTGGTGGCACAGAGAGAGACTAAAAGGACAACTTTGGAATGCAACTGTAGTTCGAGTTAAATGGAAAAAGAAGACAAATAACAACAACACAAAGTGCAAATTGCAAAAACAAACATTCAGGCTGCTACAAATAAATCCTGACATAATCAAGAGGGGTTTTTTCAGGGGACGAAGGGGGAATCTCTCCCATAAAAAAAACTTGGCACCCATCC